ACCTGGTGATTAAGGTCAATGGAAAACTACAACAACCTAATCCAGGTGGGACTACTAATGGCCCAGACCCTTCAGGAATGAAGGTTAGAGTCATTCCACCAGGTAAAAAAACAAGACCAGCTGAGGTGCTTGCTGAAGACAAAGGAAATACAAGAAGGGTAGTAGAAAAAGGTAGTAATAATACTACCTGTGATCACATGCCCAGTTATAGACATGAGAGCTATAATTGTCATGAGTATTTCCTTCTTATATTGTTATGAATATGTGTATATATATATATTTGGCAAACGTCTTTGTTCCTTCCCTCTTTTAGTCACTTGTAATATAAGATGTATTTAAGGATTGTTAATTTAACATTATTGTATTCAAGTTACAGGAGAAGGAGAAGAGTAAATATCACTGAAGGACTTTATCTCTTCTTATGGGGAAAGGGTTAGTCTATTTTTGGTTCTACACAGGATATTTGTATCATGTTAAGTGGAATTATGATCTTGTTATTGTCTTGGAGAGTAAGCATGATTTAAGGAGAGGCATACGGGTGCCAAGTTGACAAGGGGTTGACTTGTGATGTTTAATTTTATGTATCAACTTGACTGGGACATGGGGTGCCCAGATATTTGGTTAAACATTATGGTGGGTGTGTCTGTGAGGGCATTTCTGGATGAGATTAACATGTGAATCAGGAGATTGCCATCTCCCATGTGGGCCTCATTTAATTGGAGGAAGGTCTGAACAGAACAAAAAAGTGAGGCAAGGGAGATTTTGTTCTCTTCTGCCTGTCTTCAAGCTGGGACATAAGTCTCCTGCCTTTGGATTCAGACAGAACTCACACCTTCAGCTCTCCTGGTTCTCAGGCCTTTGGAATTAGCCTGGAACTCTGCTATCAGCTCTCCTAGGTCCAGCTCACTGACTGCAGATTTTGGGACTTCTCAGCCTCCCTAATCATATGAGCCATTTCCTTATAATAAATCCCTATAGATATTGGTTCTGTTTTTTGAAGAACATAGACTAATACAGTGTACATTGAATTTTGTTCTTTTTAATGAATAGATTGTATTTCAAATGATGAATGTGGTATGATTTAATCATCTTTGTTGATACACAGTTTGGCTCTTTCCAATTTTCCAGTCTTTTTCTGATTTCACCAGTGTATCAGGAAATATCCATATACACACATCTTCATGCACATATGCTACTATACCTGAAGACCAAGGAATGTGATTTAAAAGTCTTAAAGGTGACATATATATGTGTATATAGATAGCCAGGGGTGCCTGGGTGCCTCAGTTAAGCGTCTGACTTTGTTGGCTCAGGTCATGATCTCAGGGTCCTGGGATCGAGCCCATTGTCGAGCCCAGAGTGGTGTTCCCCATTCAGTGGGGAGTCTGCTTCTCCTTCTCCCTCTGCCCCTCCCCCCACTCATGCTTTCTCTCTCTCAAATAAATAAATAAAACCTTAAAAAAAAAAAGAGGGCGCCTGGGTGGCTCAGTTGGTTAAGCGACTGCCTTCAGCTCAGGTCATGATCCTGGAGTCCCGGGATCGAGTCCCGCATCGGGCTCCCTGCTCAGCGGGGATTCTGCTTCTCCCTCTGACCCTCCCCCCTCTCATGTACTCTCTCTCTCTCAAAATAAATAATAAATAAATCTTTAAAAAAAAAAAAAAGAATAGCGGGATGCCTAGGTGGCTCAGTTGGTTAAACGTTTGCCTTCTGCTCAGGCCATGATCCCAGAGTCCTGGGATTGAGGCTCCCTGCTTGGCGGGGAGCCTGCTTCTCCCTCTCCCTCTGCTGCTCCCACTGTTTGTACTCATTCTCTCTCTCTGACAAATAAATAAAATCTTAAAAAAAAAAAGAAAAGAAGAGCCAGTCAACTCATATAACTAGCTAAATACCAGTAGGGACATTATCTATAAGTGGGTCTCTTGAACTGCATAAGCAGAGAGAGTGCTTTTCACAAGCCAAAGGATGTTGGCTATTCTTTACAGGAAGCCAAATGAGTCTCCTTGGGCTTCTTGTAAAAAACACCCACTAGAATTATGATTTTGGAATCATTTCCATTGCAAATCTCCTCTTTCCACACCCCTTTAAAAGGCAGCTGCACTATTTGGCTTCTAACCAAGGCCTGCTGCACCAACAATTCTCTAAATTTTATTTATATTTCATGTGCAGTATGTTCAAACTCTCACTTCCCCAGGTGCCAGATGCTGGTTTGGACGTACTCCAGTGGAAAGTGCTTTCCTGTAAAATAATAAAATACTGAACAAACTGCCTCTTTATATCAGACTTGCACCTAGTGTACCAAAGTATTCTAATAGTGACTTCACTATTTCCCCAAATTTGCAATCCCCCCAATTTCCACTTCACCTAGCTCCACACCAAATACTTTGTCCTTTGGCTTCCATAGGATGTAAATGCTTCTAGTCCTTTTATACCTCTTCAGTGCTCATTTGAAAATGTCAGAATGTAGGATCTGTATCACATGATTTTGATGGTGCCTAATGTAACCCACCAATGGGTATTTCAAATATGATATGGATGAGAAAACAAGGATTTTAACTTACTTTCAGGATTTTTTCCTTTTTTTTTTTATAAGTAATCTCTATGTCCAATGTGGGGCTTGAACTCATGACCCTGGGATCAAAACTTGCAGGTTCTACCAACTGAGCCTGCCAGGTGCCTCTACTTTCAGGATTTTAAAAGATATCTAATAAGTTAATGTCTGTTATGTTCATAGCTTAATATATTTTCACTAAAAAGTGGTGCTTTCCGGGACACCTGGGTGGCTCAGTCGGTTGAATGTCTGCCTTCAGCTCAGGTCATGATCCTTGGGTCCTGGGATTGAGTCCCGCATCCGGCATCCTGCTCAGTGGGGAGTCTGCTTCTCCCTCTCCCTGTGTGTGCAAGCTCTCTCTCTCTCGAATGAATAAATAAATCTTTTTTTTAAGTGATGCTTTCTGTGTGTTTTATACTAAGTTTGTCCCTGCAGTGGCATAGAATTTTGGCACAACACTCTAAGACTTAACTCAGAATTTGCCTTTTGTGATAGGGTTCTTGCATTTTTTTTTTAAGATCATTTATTTATTTGACAGAGAGAGAGAGTGCACGCACAAGCAGGGGGGGTGGCAGGCAGAGGGAGAGGGAGAAGGAGGCTCCCCACAGAGCAGGGGGAGCCCGATGTGGGATTTGATCCCAGGACCCCGGGATCATGACCTGAGCTGAATGCAGTTGCTTAACCAACTGAGCCACCAGGTGACTGGGTTCTTGCTTGTTTAAAGGCAGGCCTCAATTCAGAGATCCTCCTTGTGAAATGAGCAGGAATATTAGGTGGAAACTAAGAAAGTGGTTATAATTTTTAGAGATTGCCAATCCGCTCTTGGTTTCCACCTCCACCTGTTTTTCTTGTTCTATCCTAGACAAAATGAGAACGTTAGGCATGAAAATTTATGTTTGTGCCAAAATCTTGCGATTCATTGAAGTTTATTTTTTTAAAGATTTTATTTATTTATTTGACAGAGAGAGACACAGCGAGAGAGGGAACACAAGCAGTGGGGAGTGGGAGAGGGAGAAGCAATCTTCCCACTGAGCAGGGAGCCCGATGCCGGGTTTGATCCCAGGACCCTGGGATCATGACCTGAGCCGAGGGCAGACGCTTAACGACTGAGCCACCCAGGCGCCCCGAGATTATATTGAAGTTTAAATGAACTCTTGTAAAGCGTGCCATGATTTGTGAGTGTGGAAAGCCGCTATAAAATAACAGAAATACTCTGCCTGCCAGTAACTCAACATATTGGGCTCTGGCAGATCTCGTTTTTTTTCACTCTCTCCATTAGATGGCGGTAGATGCCCAAGAAATGACTTCCAAAGGCCCGGTGGAGGGCGGTGAGAGGGGCGTTTTTTCCTTTCACCAGGTTGTTAGCTGAGCACACACACTGAAGGTCCTCTACTGAGGGTTGGCAGGGTATGCATTTTATTTTTTCGTGTGTGTGTGTGTGTGTGTGTGTGTGTGTGTGTGAGGCGGGAAGGCTTGCCACAGGCCACCTGTTCAAGCTAAGCAGGGGGTAGCATCTTGCCAGCTGGCAAAAAAAAAAAAAAAATTCCTAGAATTTTTCTTAACTATCATCCGACTTGATAGAAGCTATTGAACCGATTCCGGAGTGCAACCAGCATTGATTGAAAGATGCTGCGGCATCTGTTGCCTACACTTCTGGAGATGGAACGGAGCCACTCGCTGGAGGGGAATGGCCTCCGCGACCTGTGGACTGAACCCCCCACAGTGCGACCTGTGATCCACTTCCAAGGATCGTGGACTCTCTCACGTGTGCCTAGCCCCAGATCGGAAGCTACCCGAGAAATAAAAGCGGGGGTGTCCTCCAGTTCTCTTATAGTAGACAGAAACATACACAAAACACACGGTAGAGAAATTAGTGCAAGCAAGACCCAGCCTGACGAAGTGGTAATTGTGTATGAAGATGCTAAGTCCTGTAAGCATTCCAAGAGGCCAGTGGGGTACGAAATGGCCGATTAGGCTTTGGAGAGAGAGAGAAAGAGCACAAGCGAGCGAGCACTCGGGTGGGGGGACTGTGGGAATGTTTGGGGAAGTCCGGAGAGAACTGAAAGTTCGGAAGGGTGGAGGCCAAGTCCAGCTCCGCGAGGACTGCAGCTCAGAGACGCCGGCTCGGAGGACCCCTCTCCTGGCTGCACTTAGCTGGGGGAAAGCTCTCCCAGTGGGGCGTTTCCGGCCAGCTTTCTCGCCAGGGCTCTTTCCCGAGCAATCCCGCGGCGCCGTGGAAGCCCTTCCCCGCTCGCCAGCAGCCGCAGATTCAGGCCCAGCGGCGCGGCCCGGGACGGCCACGGAGGGGGCGTGGCGAGGGCAGCCCGGAGGGGGCGTGGCGTGGGCGGGCCCGGGTGGGCGGGCCTCTCCCCTGCCCCGCGCCCGCCGCTGCCGCCGCCGCAGCCGCCGCAGCTGCCGCCGCCGCTACCGCCTCCGCCCGCCTCCCGGACCGAGGGAGCGGGGTCGCCGCCGCCTGCCCGCCCGCGTGCCCGGGGCTGCGGTGGCCAGGATGTCGGGCTTCCTGGAGGAGCTGCTCGGCGAGAAGCTGGTAACTGGCGGCGGCGAGGAGGTGGACGTGCATTCGCTGGGCGCCCGCGGCATCTCGCTGCTCGGGCTCTACTTCGGCTGCAGCCTGAGCGCCCCCTGCGCGCAGCTCAGCGGCAGCCTGGCCGCCTTCTACGGCCGCCTGCGGGGGGACGCGGCCGCCGGGCCGGGGGCCGGGGCCGGGCCGGGGCCGGGGGCCGGGGCGGCCGCGGAGCCCGAGCCGCGGCGCCGCCTGGAGATTGTCTTCGTGTCCTCGGACCAGGACCAGCGGCAGTGGCAGGACTTCGTGCGGGACATGCCGTGGCTGGCGCTGCCCTACAAGGAGAAGCACAGGAAGGTGAGCGGCGCGGGCCTCGTCGGCGCCCCCGGCCTGGGTGCGCAGCCCGCGAGTTGGGGGGAGCGGGGTCCTCGCCGGCCCCGCCCGCACCCCTCGCAGCCCCTCGGCCCGGCGGCTCCTGTATCTTTGTATGCACTTCCCCTCGTGTCCCTCAGTGTCTCCTTCCTCTGTGTATGCCCGCCCCGGTCGGAGGACCCGCCGTGTTGGGGCTCCCGCGGCAACTTGTCGGTGCGGTCGCCAGGCCGCGCCCGTGGGGGAAGTTTGACACCCTCCGGCCCCCGACCCCAGCTTTCGTCCCGAGGAGTCGAGAGCCAGGTCCCCACGCGCTGGGAGCCTCGCACAGGGAGCGGCCGCGCTGGGGGTCCGGACCCCGTGACCCCCGCTCCCGGCCAGAGGCGCGCGGAGGAGCTGCTTCCTTCCCTCAGCCGCCAGACTCCCGGCGGATACCTGTAGTGGGTGGGGGAGGCGCTCGCCCCCTACCCATAATGCCCAGACCAGGAAGTTTCCTCTCTCCGAGAGAAATCTGCTTTTCAGGGGACCTCTTCCCTCCCCCCACCCTGTGACCCGGGACTCGGAGGCCAGGCCGCCCCGCGCCCTGGAGAGGCAGCCTCTGACCGTGGCTTTGGGTGAGAAGGGCGCTCACTCCTCTCCCCTTCTCCGTCCCTCCGCCCCCACGGGCTCGACTAGTGGCCACCGGGGAGCTTTTCATTGTCTGCCTGTCCAGCCGTCCTCCCCAGATGCCTCTCAGGCACAGGGAAGAGACCCGTCTTTGCAGCTCTTAGTTGCTGGGTCGGGGTTGTCTTGGCACACTTCGAATTAAATGCTGAACTTAGGTGCAGATTAAGTGGAGAAACGAGGATTTGGGGAAATCTATACTTCGCTGTCAACTTCTCCTTCCTACCAGTTTGCTGCTGAAATTAGTTTGGGTTTTCGAGTGTGTCTGTTGGATGAAGATGTCTGTTTTAAGAAAACGAATTCGGGAAATTTTGTCATAAATCGAAACAGGACAAGTTTTGGAGCGCTCTTGCTTAATTGGTATGCCTGATGAAACGTATGAATCTAGCCTCTTCCCTTTCAGGAGAGAATCTTAGTTTATGGAGTGAACAGCAGAAGGGCTGTTCTGGGGGCTTTTAGGTGCCTCTAGGGAGGATGGTAAGGGCATGTGTTTCTTTTATGTGTAGGGAGTCTTGTTGAGAAGCATGATTTAGATTTAGTAAGAGCAAAAGGCTTATACTGTGACCCCAGATGTCTCCAGTAAATCATCCATCCCCAAGCAGTATAAGCTACAGACTTGGGATTTAAAGTATGAAATACAGTTTAACAAATAGTTTGTAAATTTAACATTGGAAAAACATGGGCTCACTAACCACACGGAGGCCAAACTTGGCATTTTAACCACTTTTTAGGTGATTTTGCTCATATTTGATTTATATACTTGATAGTGCGTGGATGTGAATGGCCAGTCCTTTTTTGCTTCAAAAATATGGGAATTCTTTGTTTTCCTTGGTGGCTGTTTTATGATTCTTTTAGGGAGGAATAATGTTCAGAAAGTGATTTACCAAAAAACATCTTCATTGTTGTGGCAAATTTCTATTGTAGACCAGTGTGTTTAAAATAATGTCCTTATTGGGCAATACAAAGGATTTCTAGCTTTTGCAAACATATAATGATGGTAAAATGTTACAGACCTAAGGCCTATTGTGTTTTTCACAGTGGACGAAAGAAATTTGCTGGATGGTAAAAACGTGGAGCAAATTGAGATGTTTTGCAAACGCTTAAAGCTTTTTCTTGGAAAAGGAGAATACTTCATGTGATATACACCGTGCTTGGTTCTCTCTGCCCTGGCTGGTCCCTTTGCACACACACAAAAAAGTGGTCTGTGGCCCTAGTCTGGACCTGCTCATTCCACCAGGATGAGAGTCTGGATGACACGGGGCAGACCCTCATCTGAAAATACAGTTCAGAATGCTCAACATGCCCAAATCATGGTGGCTAGCATGTTAAAAATGTATTTTTTTTGCTCAGAGTTTTTCTGTCTCGCATCCAGTGGTCCACTTCGTTCTGTAAAATAAGTCCAGTTTTTGAGGATGTAGTTTCTGCTCCTGGATGCTCACGAATAGGCAATTCAAGATCTGATTCCAGAAACATTCGTCATGATATACCAGGTAAAAAGACTTCAGCTGTGTTTCTTGTGGAAAATATACTCTTAGAAATTACAAAAGCTAGGTACTTACTTTGACAGGAAGTATTTTCTTCCTTGAAACCAAAGAGAATAAACAATTCCTTTTTTTGTAATTTTGAGTTTTTGTCCTGTTTGAAATCGAGATGCATAGAAGGAAGTCTGTGAGCTTGTGATGGCAACTTCATGATAAGAACAGTGAAAAAGGCCAGGGGATCCCCAGTTCAGGGTGCTGAGTGGGTGAACACTTACCTTCTTGCTTGATGGACCATGTTGTCTCACCACCTATAAAAATAGTTTCAAAGAATAGAATTTGTTTTACACTGAGGGGCAACCAGAGTTCCAGATTACTAATTTTTTTAAAGTTCTCATTAACATTTGTTCTTTACAACCATTCATATACTTCTTCCCATTGGGATGACAAAGGATATGGTTCTAATTAGTTATTGGCTGGCATTACTCTAAAGAAAATTGAAAAATTATGGTGGGGAAAGAAAATGCTGTGTGGTATTTTTTTTCTTTTTTTATTAATTTCCCCTGTATGTAGTAAGAAAGTCTGGGGATGACCATATATGTTATGCTTGGGTTTTGCCTGACCCTGCTCACCTTGATTGGAGCTGTGAGAAAACAGCGAATAAAAGGAGTCCAGCATCTTTAAAAAAAAAAAAAAATCCAAATGAAAGGTTGTCCTGTTTCTACTTGCTTTTGTGGTGGGTGCAAAAATAATTGAAGCTTCATATTTTTTGGCTTCCAAGCACACCCATATAAATAGCTGTATAGAAATTGTAATTAGATGATAATAGAACTTTGAGTGCCTTTATAAGAGCAGTTTTGTCAAAAAACATATAATCTTGAAGTTAAGGTAGTTAGACTTGTTTTAATAAGTAGGTTTGCTTTTTGCTTTGTCAGTAGACATTTTTCACATTTCTGGAGAGAGAGAATGGGATGAATAGTTGGAAAGTTTAGGGATTTGATCTACTCCTTCAGATGAGGATAAGTTACTTAGGTGTCAGACTAGGAGAGTCGATCCCCAGGATCTATTTCAGCACAGATTCTGATTTTAAAGCCCACCAGACTCCGTTTTGCCTGGGCTGGATGTCCGATGGACTGCATTTGGTCAGTGTGAGTACACTGACATCAAATGGTACAGGACCACTGGTCTTGGACTGCACAGGTTTGCTGGGGTCTGGCTTGGCCCCAGAACTTCCTGCCAGACAGAAAGGAAAAGAGAAAGTTGGGGCGGGAGAGCGGCACTCAGGAGGTATCCCTGAGGATCCCTGGTCTACCTGCTTCAGTCAGCGGAAGTGGAATCTTCCTGCTTCCCTGTGTGGGTTGCTTGCTCTGGGTGATGCTTTTGGGTCAGACTCAATCAGCGACTTGGCCTAGAATTCACCAGAATCCCTTTGGCTCTTTGGAACGGGGCAAGATTTGGTACCAACCCAAACAGTCTTATAGCTCCATCTCTCCCAGCTCATCCTCCCTCAAATCCAGATACCCCAGCCACTAAGAATGATCTCTATGACCCTGACAGACCACTTTGAAGGCGCTAAAAGCAGAAAAGCACAGCTTTGACAATTGGGGTTTTCCATCTTCTGCGAAAGGAGCCTGGACCAGCCAGGACAGGCTCCCTCCATTCGTTGTGTTTCCAGGACTTGGATCTGTCGAATAAAAGACCACGGTACAATTAAAGTAATAAGAGCAATTTTCCTTGAGAGGCTTTTTCCTTCTTCCGTTATTTCTAATGTATTTTTTTAATCTTTAATTTTTCTTCTCTGCGTAATGAAGACATCTAGTGTAGTAGTAGTAGTTAAAAATAGGGACTCTTGTCCATCCGCCTGAGCTCGGATCCTGCCTCTGTCACTTGTTAGCTGTGGGGACCTTGAGCAAGTTCCCTACTTGTCTGTGCCACAGGTTCCTTATCTGTAAAGTGGAGATGATAATAGCGTCTGCCTTGGCATGTAGCATGTGCTCAGTAAGTGCTAGCTGTTGTTCATAAATTATCATGAAATTCGGGAATTCCTTTCATAGCTTGAGCCTCTGGAATGTATCACATTACAGAATTGCAAAACTGTCATGATTTTTCTAACAAATGAGTTTTATCAGCATACAGGAGGCTATGGTGAAGGGGTTGAAAGAATTGCCCTAGAAGACATTCTAATTGAGGAGAAAGACCTAGAAGAGTGAAACAATGAAAGCAAATGAATATTTAAAAAACGCCGCTTCTTAAAGAACTGAGAGTTCTGAGATTTACTGAGCACCATACTCGCACTTGCCAGTGAAACTTGAGACATCAGATCAATGAAGCCCTGACATGATAGAGGGTAACAACTTTAAGATGATGAGGCACCCTTCTTGAGAGAGATTAATTATGTACTTGGTGATCGTTTTGTGGTTTGCCAGAGCTATTAGGCACGTCTGCCGCTGAGCCTGCCTGCTTAAATCTGGGCAGCGTGAAGGTTGCCGGATTGCTGCTCTTTCAGCATGGGAAAGGGATGGTGCCCGCTCTCCGGAGCAGTGAAGACCTCACCCCCTAACGCAGCCACCTCCCTTCCTAGCTCTGGAATGTTGTCGGATGGGTTTGCTCAGACGTGTAGCCATTGTGGATTACTCTTCAGGCCTCAAGGTAGCGATTTAGGCCTGACCGGCTGGCTGTCCACAGCCCTTGCTGATTGATACGGGTTGGGATGTGAACCAGAGCACAAGAGGAAAGCTGTGGGTTTTGAGGTTAGGGTCATTGATTTCATTTACACTCTCTACCCCCACTCCCCCTTTTATCACTGTTCCTTTTGGTTTGAGGCCTTGTTTTAATATCTGCACCAAT